AAGAAAGAAAAAAAAAATACGAAAAATTAGAGCTACGTATACCCGATTATTATCACTTAGATTGAGTTCTTAATTAGTTGGTTTTCTCCTATTTGAATTTAATTTAATTTACATATTATTTGAGAGTTGTAAAGTGCAAGGATATGTAAATAGAATTATGAAATCATCAGTTTCTGATCCACAATCATGCTCTCCATTTTTTAGTTAAATTTTAGCTAAAAACATATCAAAGTTATTTTAGGAGCTCTCTATAAAATTTAAACTTCAATCATGCTCTCTAGTTTATGAAGTCATAAATGCTATAACTCTTTTTTGATTGGTCCATCTCTATTAAAAAAATAAAATAAAAAATAGTTAGTATTAAATTAATGTTGGAAATACTCAATAAATAAAGCAGCATTAAATTATAGAGAGCCACTAAGAGTTCTTTCTCTCTCCTTAGATTTAGGAGCTCCTAGATGTCTCTCTACTTGCATAGTGCTCTCTACTGAAGTAGCACACTCTTGTACTAACTCTGGTGGTGGTGTTGTAACTTGTACTACACCCATTTCAAAATCAAGATAATTATAATGGAATTGCTGAGAATAATCCCACACACAACAATTTTCTTCCTCTTAGAAAAATCAACGAGAAAATAAGCAGGAATTTCCAAGAAATATACGAAACCCCCGACGATAAAAATATAAAAATATATATAAACGACTTGCTCGGTGGGGGGCTTATCAGAGAAATAAATGGTTTATTATTATTATTATGAATAATTATTGAGCTGAAATGTTTGAACCAGAACTTGTAGTAGCTAATTAAGGCATATAAGAAAAGTAAAAGAGTGCATCAACATCACGATCAGATTAATGATGGACAAGAAAATATAATGACTATTGTAATGTAGCTACAAATTGACTATTGCTATCCTTAATTTAATATTTAGTCCCGATGCAGCCGTACAAATTGACCAAAGAACTTGATTCTATATATTTTCTAAAATTTCTTTGAAAAATTATGGAAAAGTCAGTGTATAAATAATTAGCATCTCGGCAGGTGTGTGTGGATAAGTTTTTTCAATAGGAAGTATTTTTGCTCACCACTTTAACTTCAAAAGTATTTTTATATATTCTTTTTATCTTTATGTATAGAGAATTTTTATTTGACATGAACTCTTTTATTTCCTTTGCCTTTGTAAAGTATATGTTATGAATTTTTTTAAATGAGAGAAATTTTCGCATAACTTAAAATTGCTCTCTCTAGGTTTATTTCTTATTTACGTAACAGATTTAAAATACGGAATTTAACCTTTATTTGTAAAGTTATCTTTTTAAAAAAACTCAATTTCTTTTGTAATTTTAGAAATGACGACTTTTAGATAGAATTTAAAATAGGGATTTATGACCTCCAAATTCCATGTTTTTTCCCATACGGAATTTCTAAATTTCTATGTTATTTCCCTCATCCAAACGGAATTTCTAAATTTCTATGTTATTTCCCTCATCCAAACGGATTGATATATGCGAAAATTCAAATTATAGAGGTAGCTAGATACATAGGAAAGTCATGGAAATGTAATTAATGAATGATCAAGTCTTTGGCTATGGCTTCTAGGTCTTGTTTCTTTTATGACCACCAGTGAAAGTCTTTATACGTGAAAACGATTTGCTTCTAGTGGACTGACTAGTGGAGAAGATCCACCCCAACGCAACACCAAGTGGCCCTTTTGGCACTAAGTAAGAACTACCCACTAATTCATAGCACTTGCATGACTTACGGCTTTCGCGATCATGCATAATGAATTTCTAGAAAATGATGACCTTGAGTTGATGTGATCTTTTAAATTTTTTTTAAAAAAAGATGATACGTTAGGGGCCGTTTGATAATCATTTCAATTTTAGTTTTTAGTTTTTTTTTTGGTTTCATTTTTTATTTTTTTTCCGCTGAAATATAGAGGAAAATGATGGTGAGAATGTGAGTGAGGATGAGAGGGGATTATGGGAGGGAGGAGTAACAAAAGTGAAAAAAATTTCAAATAGATTTCAGTTTTTAGTTTTTGTTATTCATCCTCCACTCTCATCTTCCCTCTCAATCCCATATTCACTCTCGTCCTCACTTCCTCCTTTTCCTCTATACTAAAGCATAAAAAATGAAAACTACAAACTAAAATTGAAATAGTTATCAAACGGGCCCTTAATGTCCAAAAAGAGTATAAAATTCAATTGTAAGGAGGCGGGCGCACATACTAAGTCGGTAAACTAGTCTAACTCACATTTGCAATTTAGAGACAATTCTAAAATCAAACTCATAGGTCTAATTCTAAATTCATACTTATTTATATATATGATTAAATGACGCAAACAAACAATCCTACACCATTCTGTCTTGTAAATTAGTTTTTAACACAAGTAAGCATGACTTTTTCTGCAATTTGATTGCTAAGCTTGGTCTTAATTTGGCCATTATTTATTTCAAATTAGTGGTGAAAAATACAAGAATCTAGGATGACTCTCTTATACTTCACCAGAACAAAAACAAAAAACCAAAAAAATATCTCTCTTGTACAAGACCAAAAAAGAATCTAGGTAGGAGACGAAATGAATTGGAGCCTTTGAAGGCATCGAAGGGTGAAGACTGAAGAGGAGGTTACGTGCTCTTGTTGCTTTAACCTTTTTAGGTGTTTGACTACGACGACCATTGACCTCTGAATATGCAAACAAAGACTTTTTCTGTTTGAGTTCTTATGGGCCTTACGCCACACTCACTCTTCATTATTTAATTAATATTTTGAAGCCTGTTATTTATTCCCATTGGCCACCATTGCCCACTTTGCTCTCTATCAGCCCATGAGATATTGACATGTGACAGACAACTAGACCTATAACTTTGCTCTTTATCATTCAGTCTCATGGCCTATATCACTAGACTTTTCTGCCCAAATTTTTATATATATATATATATAATTGCAAACTTTTCTGCCCAAAAAAAAAAAAAAAATTGCACCTTTTCGATTGACCCCATATCCATATGCTACTTCATGAGTCGGTCTAATATGAAGAATGATGAAGAGATTTTGTCTTACTAGTTACCACACTATGATTAGCTAGCCAACTCAAAAGTAAAAATATCAATTGTTGTTTGATTAATCAGGGTAAAAAATAATTGACCTAGACAGAGGACTCCTCTTATTGAAGATATTGGCCTGATATCATTGTCAAAATCGTTTTCGAATAACCAAAAATGTTTTATCGAGTATTTAATTTGAACAGTCTCGTTCTCGTAGACCCTTATGATCACCAAAAAAGTACCCAAAAAATGTACCAAACTAAAACAAAACTAACAGGTACCCAAAAAAAAGAGAAGCTCAAACTAAAACACATCCCCATCCCAGTGGTAGAAAATCAAGAACGTGTTCTTGCACCCATCCCTGCCCACACCCACCTCCGCCTCCGGCGTCGCAGACAATTCAGAGCCACCCATGCCCTCAAAACTTGCATCATATTCTCAACGAGCATGATTTATTGTTCTCTTCATTAAATATCTATTAATTAAATTTGCCGTTTGCTTCATCTTGTATACTGTACTATTGAGAATTGGTCATCATCGTCCATACCAACAACAGCCACTGCCGATGTTGCTGTGGTTCTCATAAGCAAAATCATAATTGCGACAATCATATACTGAAAATTGAGTAAATTTGAGTATATGATGCAAGTTTGAGGGCATGGGTGGCTCTGGATTGTCTGCAACAACGGAGGCAGAGGTGGGTGTGTCAGCGGCAATGGGTGCAAGAGCACGCTCTTGATTTTCTACCACTGGGATGGGGATGTGTTTTAGTTTGAGCGACATTTTTTTTTTTAACCTTTAGTTTTGATTTAAGTTAAAATAAAATGTTAATATTGATTTTTAAACTAGTTTTTTCTCGACCTTTAGATTAGATTCAAAGGTGAGTGACCATATGTCTCTTAGATCATAGGGGTCCAAAAGAACGGGACTGTTAGTTTGAAATAGATAAGAATAATTTAAAAGATTAGAGAAGGTTGTTAAAGGTGAATATAAAAAAAAAACATACTTGTATCATTGATATAATCAGGAGTACTTTTAATATTTCCAAAATCGTTTTCGACTTGGGTATTTGAAATAGATAAGAATAATTTTTGAAGAAGTTGTAGGTGAATATATATTTTCTAATCAAAATGTAATCAAAACATATAAGTCAATAATAATTCAATTAATAAGAGTGTTTCATATCCGAAACAAGCAAAGCATGGTTTCTTTGTTTATATGATATTTTTATTCTTAGGAAATTAAAAGGCAAAAGATCGATGAGTGGGAATTCATAATAAAAATACAAGTGAGCCAGCTAATAAAGGAAGACCATAAAACACAACGTCAAGATTCAAAAGGGCTCTCAAACACGCAGGACCCACCATAGCCATGGCCGAAAGAAAAAAGCATATTTTCTTTCATATTTAGAGCATTCATAGTGGGGGTGTAAATTCGGGGGTGTAAAGCCACTTTTACATCCCCTTTACACCTCCGGGGGGTGTAAATATGTTTTTTGCTCCAGTGAGGGGTGTAAATTTGGGGATGTAGCCGTGGGTCCCAGCCTTTTATGTTGACTTTTCTTCATTTTTGTTCTCTTTTCTCGGGTGGGTCCCGCCTACAAGGGATGTAAAAATGGATGTAAATATACATTTTATTTTACATCCCCATGGTGGTGATGTATATTTACATACATTTACATCTCACCATTGAAGACGATTCCGATGACTCGGGGTGTATATTTAACATACACCCCCATATACACCCCACCACTGTGGATGCTCTTAGGAGAAATTAGGACTAGTCTCTCACTGCTGACGTCAGCTGATGACACGGGTGATATTACGTGTGCTTGTCATGTATGCCAAGCGTCATGATTCTTAAGAATTCTCCATATTTTTTCCAACCCAAGGATTTGATTTGAATATAAATTCTCCATACCCAGGCAGAAACTGATGAAGACCATAACCAAAAGCAGTTCGCAGCCAGCCACTAAAACTGGTACAAATTGCCAAATTGGTCTTTGCTCGTATATTTATGTCTACGTGGAAATCAACTGTGAAAGTTCCTTGAATTTAACTTGATTATTTTCCAACTTTCATCAGGGACCACGGTATAAATAAAGGATTTTCCTTGGGATGAGTTCATATTGTCCTGTGGCTCTTGAAATCTTGATGAACATGGATGCCCATACCCCTACCAAAAGAGAGGTAATTAACATGGATATGCTATCATGTTCCCTGCATCGAGTTTCTCTGTTCGAATTCCCTTTCCAAATCAAATATATGGGGTTTCTTTCTTGGCTTTTGATATGAAAATATGTTTGCATGTTGGCTTAATTAGATTTTTGTTTGATGAGCAGGCGGATGCTCTCCAACAAGACTTGCTGCGCCTGCGAAAAGAGAATGAAGCTCTGAGATTCTTGCTTCAAGCTATGACCACCAAATGCAACACACTTGAGCAGCTAATCCGAGAGAAAAACATTCAACGACATGATCAGTTTCCGGTTGCCCAGAAGACAACTCAGTTTCTTGTGAGAACCGACTCCAAAGACAACACCCTAGTAAGTCTAAACGCTAATCAGTTGGTAAGTTTATACGGACAAAACACCGTTTACTAATATTATCTGTGAATTAAATCATTAGATTGTGAAAGATGGATATCAATGGAGGAAATACGGACAGAAGGTTACGAAAGACAACCCATCATCCCCTCGAGCTTATTTCAAGTGTTCCTTGGCTCCTCGATGTCCAGTCAAGAAGAAGGTAACCTACGCTATACGCTATGCCTTAGCTTGAACTAGAATCTTTCGTTTTTGCTTTGAATTTTCCTGAGAAATTAACTTTAATTTAATATATCATTTACCAGTCAGAGTTTTGAATTCGGACCAAAATTTTGGATAGATCTGGTTTTAGTCATGACATGAGTTGCTCACGTAAATGACAGATCACCAATTGGCTAAGCTTCCATGCATATTTATTATTGATAAATGATCTATAAAACAATGCATATTAATTAAAAAAAATTAATAATATAAAAAGGAAAATTTTCGCATATTAATTTGTTTGAATATATATGTATTTTAGGTGCAGAGATGCATGGTGGATAAGTCTGTTCTTGTGGCAACATATGAAGGAGAGCACAACCATGACGCCATCAATGGCTCACCACTTGGACAATTTTGCTGTTCATCATCCACAGCTGATCATAATAATAATATTATTATTAATCCTATTAATTTTCCTTCGCATGGTACCTCGGCAAATATTAATAATAATGATGTCATAAATATTGTTAGCCCTTCGAATTCTTCTCGGCCGGTGCCTATCACCCTTGATCTGACACTCTCGGGATCCACGAACAATCAAGAAAATAATGGATCAGCTGGAAGCCCTCAAAACTCATCATCATGTGCCCAGAACATCAACTGTGAAAGTAGAATTGAAGATTACGTTGCTCATTTAACCAAAGATCATAATTTCACACAAGCTTTGGCTGCTGCAGTTGCAAGCTCCATTACAAGACCTTCTGCAGACAGACAAAACCAGTGAACTTTTAACTTAGCCTAGAATTGCAAGACTTCTGTAAGCAATAGCTTCTTTTGTTGTCTTCCTCTCGTTGAGAAAACCAAGAGTTATTTCCTTGTACTATTTTTTGCTGGTCTGATGAGGATGATCATTCGTTTTAGTGTTGTTTGGGAGGTGTTGATGTTAGATGTCTACATGCTTGCTTTTGTTTTTTCTTCTACTTTTTACTTCTTTTTTTTTAGGAAGAAAATAGTACCAAAAGAAAAAAAGGTCTTAATGCTGTCATATCCATTAGTGAAAACCTAGTACTGTTGTATAATTGATGAGAAAGTTTTGATGAAGCAGGGCATAAACTAATGTCCCTTTCTCACACTCATCTGAACAAACCAAATGTGAATAGCATTGTCGAACACAGAACCTCGGATGCATAATTGAATATTCTCACGGGAGTCACAAACCCATTATACATAGTGCTCGAGGGTTTCACACTCCTTGATAGTACGGAGGGTAGGATTGAACACGTGTGCACACAATGACATGAGAGTGGTTGGAGGACATACGTCATTGAAATTGGACTAGGCTTTTAGTTATTGGATTAATTATTTTCACTATGTCACTATCTCTTTGATTTATAATAATACCTACCTAATGCCGTGACAAATGCAGTTGACTCGATAACCAAGCCAAAGACCAAAAACCTACCAAGCATAAGGCTGTGGTCTTTGGCCCTTTCATCATTATTAAGAGCCAATAGTTTTGCATCTAAATCGTATGGCCTTATTTGGCCCTTTCTCAAAATTTCATATTGAATATAATATATTGCACTTTACTACTATCTTATATCAAAGATTTACATCCCTATAACTAAAAAAATATACATATGAAAGGAAAATATAACTAAAATTAGTAATAGATAAAGGGAAACTAAGCTGACTATATTGCATGTATTTTTACAACAAAATCTCTAAGTTGTATCTTACAAGTGGCTCATCGAACAGGGGAACTCCATAAAACTCCAGCATCTCTGCTCCAAGGAACAATAAACCATGTTACAGAAAACAACAATGTCACTAATTACAAGCTTCACCATTACAGTAAATCAGAACTTCCAAAAACAAAGAAGAGGATGTAATAGGCTTACTAATTAAGGTGGGCCTCTCCCCTTCTGCAAACCACCAGCATTACTTTAAATCATGAGGAAAGCATTCTTCTCCAGATCATCAGAATTTGTGGTTCCAGTTGTTTTTGTGCTCCCAATCCTTTGAAGGGATTTTCATCCATGGAGTGAAAAAAAAATTACATCCATTGGAGAACGGCTTTGGTTGCTGGAAAAAAATATGGTGAAATAATTCTTTATGATTTAATGTTGCCACTCTTAATGGGAGTCCGTATCAAGAGCTCCTTTTTGGGAACAGTTCCCGCTTTCATTTTCTCGTTTTCTGCCTCCTTTTGTGCTTTCTTCTTTTCAAATTCAAGCTGCTTACAGTTTTCCTCGTGCGCTCGGGCAAACATCCTCACAAAGTTGAGCAGAGTAGATACAACTACAGGGAAAATTCCAAATAAACTCAAAGAGAAAATACGATAAACACGAGAAGGAAAAGAAGAAGAAGAAGAAGAAGAAGAAGAAGAAAATAACATGTACAGGTATCACCAAAGAAAGAAAAAAAATCAGCATTCAGTCTTTGGTGATACCTGTTTATATAACTCTTTTTTTCTTTCTGTACATGGTGCTAGAGAAATCACAGATCAATTAACAGTTAATTAACAGTTTACTCTCTCTTATGAATGCCTGACACTCAAGGCAGAGAGTATAGACCAACAGTAATTAAAATCATCATAGAATATTAATGGAAAGATAATTACTGATGATTCTTAGAAAACCAGAAGCACAAATTAAAACATATATACCTTGTTCAAATGGGCAGCGAGCAGGATCTTCCCCAAAATAAAGAGCCAATGCATCTGCATTTCTCCCCTGAAGACAACCACATTGAAAAGTGTAAGTGTGTTTTTCTTTCATACCACAAGCAAAACCCAACTCCTTAAACAAACTTGATACATACCACATTAGAATAAAGTGAAGCCAAAGACCTCACTTCAGCTTCGGCATGACTAAGGAACTCCTTTAGTGTCTGAACATTTGTCAGGAGATAACATAAAATTAATATTAAGAAAACTATTAATAGAAGCAGCAAATATCAAATGCAACATATGATCTTTCTAAAACAACATATAGTGAGGTAGTTGTTGGGCTTTGCAATCGGTGATCAATTTGTTTGGTATTAGAACCTTTAGGTATTCCCTTATGATGACCAATAAGTTTTATCCGTTAGTCAAATATGTCATCTAATTCAAATTTTGTTACCTATATGTAACAAATACCCCTTTCAGACATATCTGAGATAGGCAACTCTGAGTAAGCTTACAAATCAATTAGTATAGAAGGAACATCTGGTGATTGCTCACTTCTTTGTTTTTCTATCAAATTGTCAAGTATCCAAACGACTGCTTTCTCCTCTTTAAAGCTTATCTCATTCTAAAGGCAATGCAGCTAACCCCGGTAGGAAAGTCATGCCATGGAGATATGCATGCATGAAGTAGTTGATGCATATAACCTTGCAAAAAGTTTCTGACACAGGACCATCATTTTCCGAGGCAGTCAACTCTTGTACAACCTTCTCTAGCCCTTTACTGATGGCTTGCATTTCCTCTGCCAAATATTTCAATTGTATCTACATCATAATTAAAAACTTAGCTCAGTCAAGCTTGTATAAGAAACACACTGTACCTAAACTAAATTGAACAGGAAAAACAGAATACCTTCATTGAAGCCTCCAAACTTGTAAGGTCTTTTGGAAAATCAAGTAGTTCTGGTAGCTTCTCCGCAAGCACCTGTAGTTTGTTGAAGATGTATTTTATGAGCAGAATTGTTAAAGTTTTAAATTAACAATCAGAACAATATTATAAGATCACTTTGGGACCTAACCAAATACAAGTTTTCTATATGCTTAAACTTCTACGACACAATATGCACAAAGTGAAGGAGAAGTTCCACAAAACATTAACACAATGGACTAAAGGCTTTAAAAAATTACCTTACAAAGGTAATGCATAAGAGTCATCTTGTTATTCCGGGCTCGTGTATCAGTGAGCTTAAGGAGACTATCCAATCGAAATCCAATAGCAGAACCTACAGAAATAATTAAATAAACTAACTGCGCACATAGAAAGAACAAAAGGTACTGGAGCTTCTAGGAAAAAGAATAAGAACAAAATAATCACTGCAAAACAAGGACCTGTCATTTACTAATTATATAGCTATTTCCACCTTTCCTGTCAAAGTAGCTTACTGCACAAGTTACTACATTTTTCCTACCATTACATATCTGCCCAACCCCAACTTGCAACTTTGTGGCATTTTTATCACAAAAGCTGCAATTTTCCATTTATATATAAATGTATTAGTGGAAAATGGTAACCAAGTATTTCACTCACCTCTTGCAGTCCCATGGTTCAAGGCATTACCCAGAGAAAGAATTGTTTGCATGATCCTTTTCAGCTTTTCCGAACTTCTGATCTGATAAGCACATTTATATAAATAGTTAAAGAGATGAAATTTTCAACCAGGAAAAAAACACTAGAAAATATGAAAACAAAAAGAAAGTTGCCTGATCAGCTACTGAATTGACGGTGTTCAAATTCTTTCTAAGGTCGGAAACCTGAAAAATGCAACACCATGGACAAATGCATAACAAGAAGCACAACAGAAATAGAAAGCATCTGGAATAAAATCATTAGAAAATTTGTCCCCTTACCTGGGAATGGAATTGTATTTTAAATGAGAAAACTCTGAGCTTCGGCTCTACCCGAGGCACTTTCATTAATTCAAGAAAAAACTGTCACAAATTGCATAGAGCAATTAATTAAAGCATAAAATGAAGTGAGAGACACTGGGGAGGGGTGAAGAAGAGTTGAATGATTATGGAAGTGAATTCTTCAAAACCAGTTCAGTTACTACTAAAAACTAAGACTCTAAAGCTCAAGAGTTATGCAATTGAAACATAAAGTATTTCATCCCAACCAAATTATAATGGCAGCAAGCTATGAATATAATTTCAATGCACACAATTATAATGGCAACAATAGCCTTGCTGTCCACTATATGACTTTTCAAGTGAAAAGAAAGGAGAGTTAAAGGAAAGTGGAGGAGAAGTAAAATCCACTCACCTGTTCACATCTTCCCAAGTTTTCCTTATCACCACTGTAACCCTGAGCAACAAAGCATGATTTGTTATTCAAGAAAACAGAAGACCTTATATACTCACTGTAAGCAATTTCATGTACAAAATAATCAGGTCATATTTATAGAAGCTCTCACGATGGCATAATTAAAACTAGATAAAAGTACCTTGAGTAATTCCATCTCTTCCTTTGTTGGACAAAATTTTATGAGGTTCTCAACCTGATCAATATCTAATGCTAAATCATCCAAGGCAAGCACTGAACTCTGAAAAATATACCAGACAATAATTATTTAATAGTGGAAAAGTATGCCATCCTATTTTCTTAAACGAATGGAAGTTAGCATTTGGAGCTTTGAAACTGCAACCTAACAAAACTGTTAAGAAGCATATACAAGCAAACAGGTGCCTTTAGGTTTATAGCTTACCATCAGATCAGGCAAAGGGATTTTAACTTTAGAAAGCATTATTTCACAATTATATGCCCGCCTTAGCTCAATCTGCAAGAACCAGTAAATTTCTCGTGAGGATTGAGGTGGCAAAGGAACACTGCGTATTCAGTTAGTTCAAAACAACAGAAAAAAAGATGGTACAAAAGGCAATCTGCTAAACAGATCCTCACTTCAAGCCAGTTGACTAGCAAAAACATAATTACCAGATTTCTTTCCAATATGCAAAAGGATGGCAAAAGGAGAACTCTTGCAAGCAATAACAGACTCTATGACCAAGCACCACTGCTATCGGTTCTGTGCAAACACAATATGAAGTTCCATTTGCACATACTGCTGAATTAATAATTTGATCCATATTATATATGTTACATCTAACTCTCCTTGAGGGATCCATCAAGGGGCACTACTAGTGAAAACTAGGTAGGCCCTGTTTGATTGACAGATCAAGACAACTTTAGTTATCCACAAATGAAGTAAAAACCAGGGCTAATTACC